TTTCCTAGGGGAAACACTGATAAACTTTACACAAACACAACAACTAGATAAATCATTATTATATTAGATGTATTACGTCCCACTTATCTGGAGTTTTTCTTTTAATCGATACTTGAACGTTGTGTTGATCTGGTTCCTGTGTAGGTTGTGTACCTCTGCATATGAGCCGCTGAACATGCTGAGGCTATTCAGCATGTTTCAAATGCATATTTGTAAAATTTGAATGGGGTTTCTAAAAATAAAAATACTGATCTTCACAGCTACACTCCACGTACGGACGGACGGATGGATGTTGACATTTCATCAGCAGCTGATGCTATTTTCTTCCCAAACTGCTGTGACCAGATTTTGCGGGGCTGCTCGGTGCGTTTGCTTGTAATTTCCTCCTGCTTCGTTATTTCTACGAAGTTCAACAAATCGGGCTGCCGTCAGGTAGTTAGCTACAGCCTCGTCTTCAAGTTTGTAAATTTTTGTTGATGAGTTTTGAAGAGACAATTTTTTGAAAACTGGATCAAAGTAAATCATGAGTTTTTTTAGTGACCCCTTAAAGAGACAAGCTGCCATGAAGAACATTATTTTATCTGTCCTTCTTCCAAATTTGATAAAGACTTGAAACGTCAAAGCATGTTTTTTTTAAATCCGGAACAGTGCTTGTTGCAAAGTGTTTTGATGCTCGTCTTCGTCACCTGACACATTTTTGTCATTGGTTGAGGAGCTTTGTTTACTAAACAGATGTCCACATGGTTTTTAAATTGTTTTAACTTCCTTACTTTCTAAGACACATTAAATTGATCTGATGCTACAGTTTGCCTTGTAATGTTATTTTACACCTTTTCTGCTACTTTTTAATTAGCTATTATTAAGTTTTATTAGTTTTTTAGGATACAACATGCTTCATACAAAACCAGAATGGGAATATTTTCCTAAAATTTCATGGCGATATCTTGAACACTGAGGAAGTTATGAGCAAAATTAGAAAACAACAAGGTGAAATGGTCACATTGGTTCTGCTGTGAACTGCAGCAAGAAAACATGAGCTGATTTTACCTGAACAAACATCAACAACTTCCCTCAGACTGCAGATCATCACATGATTTTGGTTTTATTTTTCATGGTTTGAAATGTTCTTTTGGAATCCGCTGTCAGATTTAATATTGGTGTAGGATTAAACATTTATCCACATGATTGATAGATAGATAGATAGATAGATAGATAGATAGATAGATAGATAGATAGATAGATAGATAGATAGATAGATAGAAACAGCAAAGTAGAGATTATATAGCAACAATACAACAAACTTACTTGATTTACGGTCTCAAATTTAGCAGTAATAATGTATTTTCGTCTAATTTCGCAGCCTTGCAAGTCTCAGCTAATGTTTTGTGTCGGTCGTAGCCACGGTGTAGCTGACAGTAACAGGCTGTTTGTTAATACTGTAAACATATGAGACACGGGGGAAAAGCGTGGACGTTAAATAAACGACCACACCTTCATTAAACCACTCTAAACCTCACTAAACGCGCCACAAAAACAAACCCGATAAGCTAAGGCTCACACCACTGAAGTCCAACTCTACAGCAGTTTGAGACAGTTTACTGATGTTTAGACACTTACTCAAATACAATTATTTACTTCTTATGTGTAAAAGTGTACAAAAAATGTTTAGCGACATACCTGCTCGAGACAATGTTGTTTAATCGAAGGAAGAAGCTAACAAACATCGAAAACATAGGTAGCGGATTCCATGCACTCAGATAGATCCGCCATGTTGGATAATGACGTAATATTTCCCTGAGTTAAAAGACTTGTGGGAAATGTAGTCCGTCGGATACAAGTGACGACTGAAGCGATTACAGGCAACATGAAGCCAAAATCACGTTATTTTCACATTTGTTCATTTTTTTCCTCAAGCTGTTTAAACGATTTGATGAGGCCTGAACTTTAAAATGTGAATAATCATTCTGCTTTGAAATGTGAGGAAAATCACCATTGTTTCAATCAAACATTTTATTTTTCTAATTCAACTTCACGTTTTCAATTTTTTATTGGAAAAAAAAATGGACACGTTGAAGGCCTGATAACACTTGTTGATTTATCTATATATTAGAAGTTTTATTCTTGCATATGTACAAAACATTACATGTAAACAAAGCATTTGTGTAGAATGGCAGAGAAAGCCTAAAGCTTGATAATGTCTTAAGCAAGCTATTTTTATACAATATGCCCTGTAAAATGTCTTACAGCATCATTATTATTCATACCAAAGGAATCAGAAGACCTTCAGAAACCACTTTGATGGAATAGAATAGAATAGAATAGAATAGAATAGAATAGAATAGAATAGAATAGAATAGAATAGAATAGAATGTCTTTCAGTGGGGAAATTCATGTGCATCAGCGGCAAAGTGACAGGCAATTCACACAAGGTAACAATAAAGCCAAGTATCAGTAAGAATTTAAATAAAGACTTATCCTCCTGACTACCAGGGGGAAAAATGTCCAATTAGCTATTTTTTTAGTCCACAATCTTTGTAAGGTTATTAGAATACTGTTTTTTTAATAAGTTTTTATTTTTGAGATATCACATGTCCACAGTGGACATCAGAACACTGTACATGTGTAATTGAACCTTCATGGCAATCAATTAATCTCAAAGAAAATACCAAAAAGTCCAAATAAGAAAGAGTTTAATATCTGAATAACTGTCAATCATCACTTTTTGTCTTTTTTGCTTTATTGTGCTTATTTTGTAAGATACTTTAAAAAGTAATTCCCTTTATTCAAACTTTAACATCGTGTGCGCATCACGTGTTTTACTTTTGCAGTCAGATCTGCAACACCTTGATGCATGTGTTTTATTCACATCCTGGAAGATGGTGAGGTGTAGAAAATAACCATGTCTTATGGTTGAAGTGGAAATGCTGTTGCTCAATGAAGAGAGGACTCTGAAAACAGGCTGGTTGAACAGCAAGAATCTTTATTTTTGCAGTCCAGGAGATTACAGCCAAAAACCAAATTGTGGCCTTCAATGCCAAATGATTCACCAAGTAAGAAGATGAAGACGAAGGCCACGAGCGGGGGCGTACAAGGCTCTTTATAGGCTTTCACAGATGTTCCATAAATCTTGTCATGGTATACCTTTATTCCTAATATGGTAATATGTGCCGAGCTCTGAAGCTGGAAACTAAGAGGCATCACATCTGTGCATTCCTGAGAAAAGGCCCCCCACTCTTGGACACTACAATGGATTACACAGTGTCTCAGAGATGTAGTTGGCTGTGGGGTCTACCTGATTGATGCAGAGTAGACAATCACCTTCAATCCACTTGGGTACGGTTTGCCCGGTACATACTAGCACACCGGGTATTGACCAGTAAATGGAACCATTTGCTTATCAATGCATAATTTTCTTGTTCTAGACAGACTTGGACATCCTCAACACCAATTATACATCAGTATCTGAGTTTTCATCAACAATTTGAGTGTAAAATTGTCTCTGCTTCTGAGAATGTCTCCCTTTCTTGTCCTTTAAAAAAAACAGGATAAAATGAAGGAAATAGCTACAAATGTCCACTACGGAGGACATTTTTTAAATGATTAAATACTATGCAAAAATAAAGTTAAAATAAGTCAGACAGTGTTTCAATATGATGATTAGAGACTTATGCAAAACATGCAACAACATTTCAAGTCAAAATTTGTTCAGTAAAAAGCATTATGCATTTACATTTCCTCTCCCCATAAAACACGCTTTCACTGAGGGACACCATTTTCCTGAATGAGAAAGAGAAATGTACCAAAGTCCCTCCCCTATGAATTTGGTATCAATGGAAAGCCCTAAATGTCCTCTGTAGATACCAAAATGAGTTGATTCAGTGGTATGAAGTGGGTGAGAGATATTCAGGTTTACAAATGTCCTCTACAGAGGACAAATTTGAACTACTGGTAGTCAGGAGATTAATGCAAGTTTAATGAAAGTTATAAAAATAATTCAAGTGTTTCTTAGACACACTCTGCTGGGGCTGTGGTTGCCACTAAATACAAAATATAGACTTGTACCATGTACCTTTCTCGGGTCTGTTTTGTTTTCTCTCTTTCTGCAGTTGTAGAGGCAGACCTCAAATGTTTTGTCTCTCTCTATGCTTCTTGCTCTTCTCTACTACTCCTTCTTTCCCTTTTAAGCTTTGTCTTCGCCTTTCTCCTTTTCTTTTCTATTTTTTCCATCGTTGTGTCCATTACATCAAAAATAATCCCAATGGAATTTAAATATATATTTAGTGGAGCATCATGGTGAAAGCCATTTTGCTCCACTTGTGAAAGTAAAACTGTTGGGCCTTGCCTTGGCATTCAGACATCAGTTCTGAGTTCCACACTGCCGGACAGGACATTCTACTTTATCTTCTTATATTTTATTTTAAGAAGTCGTTTTGAATATATTAATAATGAATCTAAAAAAAATTCTTCTATTAAAGTATATGGACTAAAATGGGAAATTAGAAGTGGTGTCTTTACCTTTGTTTTAGATGTGTTTTTCTTTTGTTTATTTGTCATATATGCAAAAAAAAATAAAAAAGGCAATTTTCATTTTCTGGCAATAAATTTCCTTCTGATGTATGGGAGTAAACAGTTCAGTGAAAGTGTTTAATGACTAGTCAGTTTCAGAGTGAATACTCTTTAATTTGTGTGGATTCCTTACAATGGTTTTCAACAGACTCAATAGTCCTACCGTTTTTCTGTCATTCTGGATTTGGTGAACACAGTTTTCTGATGCTTGGCAAAAATGTTCAGTTTAGTCCACATTTTTATTATGTTTTTATATTATTATTGTTAAGAAGAATAATTATGCTGCCATCATTTTTCAGCCACCAGATATAGAAAACTGCTGATGTCAGCGATTATGAAAGGCTGATGATGGTGGGGAAAAGCAGAAGAGCTCAGAAGAGTCCGTAACCACTTTTCTTTCTAATTCTGCAGTGTTGTGTTAAAGGCACAGTGTGTATGATTTGTTGTTTTCAGCGACATCTAGTGGTTGAGTGGTTGAATCATCCTCCCTGGTCCTCCCCCCACCCCCACCCCGCTTCCAAACACAAAGGTGTCCTACGGTGTCTCTCAGGTGTCAAAAACCTTTGATAATTCCAACCGCGATGTCTACCAGCAGCTTCAGGGCTAGTGATGTTTCAAGTGGTAAGATTATGAGCTTTAATAAGTAAAATTATCCCAGCTACAATGACAGACAACAAATATTACATTTATAGTTTTACAACTAAAACCGTTTTTGACTCCGCCACCGCAGTTTGTCCTTCATGAGCCTTCGTAGACAAGATGGAGGTGAAAGATGGTGGCTGTCTGTAATGGCGGCCCGCGACCATGGAGATATAAACAGCTTTTTATAAAGTAAAAATAATAAAACAAGGTCTTTGTCTGCAATGATTAGACATGTTTTTTTATTATTGTCATTAGTGATTATCTCAATTTCGGCTAAAAGAATTGACAAAATACTACACACTGTGCCTTTAACAAAGTGTGAATAATAGAATAAAACTTCCAAGCCAAGAACTTTGATGACATCTAATTTGAACATCAGGAACCATGTCATTTATGTTAAACCTGTCTTTGTGAAGCTGTGCAAGCAGAATGACCCAGGGTGCAGGCAAAATCCAAAAAAAAAAAAGTTTAAAGGAGACCAATTATGGGTCCTAGAAATTTTTATGGTATGTTTGTGGGCTATCCAGACCATGTTCATTCAATTTAAAGCACAAAATAATTCTCAGATAATAAAATTTCCCATTTTCTAGTTCTGCCTGCTCTGACTTCCGTTCAGAAGAGCTGTTTATGTTAATGAGCTCTGTTGGTGACGCCCTCCAAAAATCTGTTGACATTAACTCCGCCCTCCAAAGCCAGCGTTTAYRTWASYRTGGCTAATAATAGCAGAAGCTCTGTTGTACAACCATATGAGACCCAGAGGCAGAGTCGTGGTCACAGCTTCTTTTTTTATTCCTCCCTCCTCTGCTCTGCACTCACTCTGCATGCTGTTACCAGAGCAGGGAGCAGCAGCGGTCAAAATACCTCAGAAACTCGAACACATAGGCTTTAACAAGGCTTTAATAAGCTAAACAATAGAGGTACATGAGAAAATGTGTTCATAACGAACGAAAATAAATAAATAATAAATTTGTGTCCAAGCCAGTCTTAAACCCTGGTCTCCCGCTCTCTGGTCTAACAATACCCAAGGGAGGAGGTGGGAGCAGACGAGGAGCCAAGGGAGGCGATGGCGATGACCAAGGGGACGAGGAGACGATGAGCGACGACCCAGGCAAAGAGGAGATGACAATGGTGATGATCAATCAATCAATCAATCAAACAAATTGAACATGACGATACAAAGAGATAATCATACTTTAACATTTTACACATATTAAATACAAAATACACATATTTCATGACAATAATAATCTCAGCATATTTGAAATGGAGTAGGAAGAAGTAAAAAACTTATAAACTCCTACCCCATACTATTTTCAAATAATATATGATGATAAACCTCAGGCTAACTTAGTAAATAGTTAAATTACAATGTAAATTTTTATTTACACTTGTACAACCTTTTGTGTTACAATCACTCCTCATATCTACACATCAAAAGATACATAAACACATGAATTTAATGCACCTGAACAAACATCGAGATTTAAGTATATTCATCCAGTGATACACATACATTTATATGTGCTTATTAGTTTACATACACCCATTTAAACACCCACTCAC